AAGAAATTCGTATGGGTCGTGGGTCACCTCTGGCTGCTCCCCGACGCTGAGGCGAGAAGGACTTCCTGCAATTGTGGGAAAGACAGGTGTTCACACAGCAGATCCACACACACGTCACGGTTCACACCGGGCCGAAAACGTGTCCTAGTGACGGCGGTTAGTGAAACCACAACTCAGCCACAGAGCCCGCTTGTTATTCAGCCAAACCTCCACCGCGGACGAGCACCCCTGAGCCCACAACGTCAAGACGAACTCCGCGAGCCCAACCTTCTATCTGGGAACTACGACAGCAGCATGGGCAAGTAAGGGAGTAAATTCAAGGAGCAGGAAGCGTTTGGTTCCCTTCCTGGTGGGACTGAAATCCCGATGGGGCCCACACACCTGCCCGCTCTGTCTCAGTAAACACAGAAGGCCCCAGGCCACCTGCTCTCCCCTCAGGGCCCCGGAGGATCGACACACTCCTTGACACTCTGTGTTAGGACTAAACACGGGAATGGCAGAAAGAAACAAACGTTCCCCGAGTTGAACTCAGCGTCTGAGGCTCGTTCTGCCCCTTCCAAGGGCCCTGGGGTGTAGCCAGCTGGGGCTCCTCCTGACGCAGGGCCGGCCACGTCTCACGGCCACTCCCCACGATTCCTAACGCCAAGTGACTTCCACTCACACGTTTCCACCCCGGGCAGCTGCCCGACTAGGGCGGTCTCAGCGCCCCCGGGGTAGGGACACCCTGCAGAGGGAGCAGCCCGCACGGTCCCGGGGGCCACCTTACCCAGGTGGTGCTGGTCCCTATCGGAGGGGGAGGTGTTGGACAGGGAGCTGAGGTTGGAGGACGGCCGGGAGCCCCCGCGCTCTGCCTGTGCCTCGTGCAGGTCCTGCAGGAGCTTCGCCGTCTCATCCAGGTTCAGGTGGCTGTCGTCTGCGTCAGGCTCCTTCCTCACTTTCCCTGCACAGACACGGGGCCGTCAGACACCCAGACGCCTGGGCCGCACCCCCAGTCTCTCCCTCGCCGCTATGAACGCTTGGGACAACACCCACCGTGCGGAAAGCTGGGGTGGGGGGGGGGGGGGGGGGGGGGGGGGAGAGGACAGGCAAGCTTGGAGGGCGGGTGCCACGTCAGATCTGAGCCATTCACGAAGAGGGCTTGCCCTCTGGTGTAAACACGCAGGAAGCAGGACAGCATGTGCAACGGAGGCCCACAGACGCCAGGACGGAGAACACGCCAGAGCGGGGGCAGGGGGCCCCGGGCAGTGGGCTGCCGGGAGAGCTCCCGGGTCTGGGCCAGGAGGGGCCCTGCGTGCGTGGGAGCATACGACCCCTCCAGGCAGTTTAAGAACTCACGTGTCTCCGACAACCGGTGGCCCAAGCCTGAAGAAGGGTGCGGTCCACCGGCGGGACGCTGTCCCTCCCTACACTAAATGTGGCTCAGGGCTGCCCTTAGAGCACCTCACAGCCACACCTGGACAGGGTCCGACGCCTACACATCGGTAATGGCCCGTCAGAACGTGACCAAGCGCAGCATCGAGGCACGCGAGCTAACCAGCACCCAAGGGCGTAACTGCAGTCTGGCCCATGAGAAACCACTACCGGGTGGGCAGAGGGCAAGGAAACAGCCCCACCAAACACGGGAGGAAAGTTGTGAACAAGAGGGGCCTTAAATTCGCGACTAGGCACTCGCTCCTCAAAAAGCAGAGGAAGAGGGTGGTGAGGGGAGAAGGGGAGAGTCTGGAAAAGCCGAATTGGGCTCCGGCACAGGAAAAGAGCCGCGTCTGCGGCCACCCGCCACCCCACGCTGGGAAGGACAACAGCAGGTCAGCCGCGGCGGAACAGACGGCCAGACACGAAGCAAAGACACTCGGCAACAAATGGCAGAATCGGGAGCCCAGCTGAAAATCCACAGACCCCCGAGTCCAGAGGTTCCCCCGAGTCCACAGGTCGAACATAACCCAACGGATAAATCCAAACAAAAGCAAATCAAGGCACCTTACACTCAAACTACCAAAAACCAGTAATGAGGAAAAAACCTTAAACACAGAGGAAAAGAAGAGTTGGCGAGGCTAACGTTGACACAGCAGCCTCCGACCGCAAGCCCAGAAGACCAAGTTGGCCCTTGGCTGGTGAACTTGGATCCCGGGAAGGTCGCCACCACCCGAGTGACAGAGGGGCTCCCCGGACCTCGACTGTCCATGCAACTGATGTGGTTTCCACTGAACACCTGCTCTCCTTCCAGGAGCCTGGAATTCGCAGATGTGCCAGGGAGAGAGTGCCTGCACTGGCCCAACTCGATGCTGGGAGTCAGGCGTGTCCGTGGGACCCCATGGGCGGCTCTGAAGTGCTGCCTGGTCTCCCCCAGACTCACCCCATGCACCCCTTCCCTCTGTGGGTCCCGATCTGTCCCCCTTTGCTGTATCAAACCAGAGCCACGAGTCCCAAGACTCCTAGGGAACCACCTAACCCAGCGGTAGGCGTGGGACCCCCAAACAATTGGGAAAATAACAGACAAGGAGCAAGACAGCAGATCTCAATCAGGCCTGGGTTACCACGCTAAGTACAAACAGCCTAACCCAAGGCAGAGACCGCGGGGCTGATGACAAAGCGAGAGCCGGCCTCATGCGCTCCGAGCCGCCGATAGAAACCACTTCTGACGCAGGCAGGATTTCTCACCCCCGGCCGCGGTCGCCTCCGGGGCCGGGTCATTCTTGGGGGGCCGCTCCCTGTGCCTTGGGATGTTTAGCAGCACGTCTGGCCTCCACCCCTTGAGGCCGGAAGCGCCACGGGCACGGCCACACGCAATGAGGGAGGCCACCGTCCGCGAGAAGCCCCGTGGTAATGGTCAGGTCGGCCCAAAGGAAAGGACGGGAGGAGAATGCACCCCGAGAGCCTCGAGTCAACAGGGAGCCGGACGGCCAAAGAGATTCCAAAACCCTGGGTGCCATGCGGACCGCAGAGGGCATCTCACGTGGCAGGGTCGGGCTCAGCTGCCGACGAGGGCACAGCCTGGTGGGTACGTGCGCGCAGACACATCGATGGCAGGCCACGAGGCAGGCAGCTCGTCCCTACACGACCGACAGGCTCGAGGGACCCTGACGTCAAAAAGGAGACCTGAGCAAGCCCCCTCCGGGGCCATCAGGGAGGGACCCCGAGCACAGTGGCCATATTCCTAGAAAGGGGACAGGCCTCGGCACACCAGCCTCATGCCCCGGAGACCACCTCGCAGACTGACTCGGCACCGGGGATGAGAACACAGCGTCCTCTTCCAGCGGAGCCTGAGGATGTGAGCACGCCCGGCACGACCTACCTAGAGAGCCGAGCATGGAGATGTCCAGGGAGGCGTCCGAGTAGGACTTTGTCGACATGAAGTCCAGGACGGAGTTGCTGTCGCCCAGCGAGTCCCCAGCCTGCAGGAGACAGGTAGGTACCGACCAGAAAAGGAAAGAGGTCACTGAGCGGGCAGTTAACACCAGCTGTTGAACTCACAGGAGCGGCAGCGCCGCCCCCCCCCCCCCCCCCCAGGACAGGCCGGCTCCGCCACGTCCACACCCAGGGAGCGGGAAGACCACACTGCGTCTGGTCCTCGCTGCAGCCACGACCACCAGGGGCGCTCCCAAAGGCGGCTGCCACTGCCGAGACCAAACCCCACAGCCAAAGGCCGCTGGCTCTCGGGGATAAACAGGTCCCTGCAACGGGGGGGGAGGGGGGCGGTGGCACAGGGGGACACAGGGGACCTGAGGGGTTCACGGCTACCTTGCAGAGACTACACGTAAAAACACGGCAGATTCCAAGCCAAGCGTGTTCTCTCTCCTTCTGTGGCCGCCCCACGCCCTCCTAGCCCTCTCTGCACTGTAAGGAAACAGCCCAGCGTTCCCCGAGACGCTCCCACCACGCAAACCTTCCACAGTGGCCTGTGGCTCGTAAATGTTAGGAGGTAACAGCTAACGTATGGCCCTTTTTAAAATGAACATTGAGAGCCACCTCTGGTGCTTTAAAGGAAATGTACTATAAGTAAGACCCTAAGGCCTCCAAATCCTACCAAATCCCACCCTCACTTTGGAGATCGGACCCTAAGTCACTGTGGGATAAGTTACTGTCTGATGACCACGCCCTTCCCGACACACGGCCTAGAGGGACCGTTTCTTCACCAAATAGTTCAACTAAAGGTCCACATTGCAGCAGACGCTCAGAGCCTGTGGACCTGGTTGCGCAGGTGCACGTCACGTGCCCTCGAACACCCTCAGCCCGCCCTGCAGCTCGAAGGCTCACACAGGGTCCCCTCCAGCCCAGAGAGTAGGGACAGGCACCCACCTACATCCGGCCACACACAGGGACCTGGCGAAGGAGGAAGGTGAGACCCTGCTAACCAGGCAAGGGGCACAGGGCCTGTGAGCCCTCTCCCGTCAGGTCGTGCCCTCTGGTGTGAGCCCTCTCCCACCGGCCTGTCCCCTGTGGGTGTGAGCCCTCTCCTGTCGGGCCCCGCCCTCTGGTATGAACCCTCTCCCATCGGCCTATCCCCTGTGGGTGTGAGCCCTGTCACATTAGGCCGTGCCCTCTGGTGTGAACCCTCTCCCGTCGGCCTGTCCACTGTGGGTGTGAGCCCTCTCCCGTTGGGCCGTGCCCTCTGGTGTGAACCCTCTCACATCGGCCTGTCCCCTCTGGGTCTGAGCCCTCTCCTGTCATCCTATCTGGGCGTGAACCCTTGCCATGGGTCTGTCTCGTCTGGGTGATCTGTGAATTTGCTTCTTTCACTTGACTTTCAGAAAAGCCACTTTGCTCTGTGCTCTGATAAATCTCTCTCAAGAGGAAATGTTACAGTGATCACTCTGGGCCATCGACACGCCGGCCGGGGCTGAGCTCGTGTTTATGGAGTACAGCGGTAGCCAGATCTCAGGGGAGAGTGCCACCGAGAGTCCTACGACGACCCCACTGTTAGCGCTCTGCTTTGCAACCAGAGACCGAGGCTCAGTGCTACTCATGATCCTACCCAGGGCCCAGCACGGGGCCCTTCTCCCTACGTGGCTGGGGCAATCATCCCACAGCTGCGGTTTTCCAAGTTGTTACAGATTCGCCTGCAACTTGGAACTCATAAAAGCGACTTGAAGACAGCTGGTTTACTCACGACTTCTCACACCAGCCAAAGAGCAGACACGCAGATCTCCCTAGAGACCTCACAGGGCCGAGGCCCCACACATAGCCGAGGGAGCACCCCAGAGGCTAGAGTGCCCCGTGGCTCCCCTCCGGTCCAGCGCCTGCTTCCCCACCGGCCGGCCGTGCACACTTGCCACGTGAGAAGACAGGGCCCCCGCACAACCACTGCTCTGCGGCTCCCGTGCCTGGACTGGAAGAGAAGTGCCGTGGCTTCCTGCCCCTCACCCCTGTCACTAAAACTCAGGGGCAGGGAGACTACCACTTAACCAGTTTCCCAAGAAAACAACACGTGACCCTCTTCTCAATGACCCCATTTCACAGGCTGAACACGACCGTTCCCCGCAGGAACGCTAATCATCAGGTTTTCACTTACACGTCCGTGCAACTCACCTTCGCTTCCTCTGGAGGCTTCACGGGAACATTTCTCCTCTGCAAATCAAAACGGGAGAAGCCAGTTTTCGAAACGGTTTTATACAGAATGATTCGCTCATATCGTGTACACGGACGTAAATTAAAGCAGCCCATTCAGTCTTGCTGGGGTTGTCCTCGCGGTATCCACACCACCCGTGAATCAGAGCTGGTGCAGCGTCAGACAGACAGCCAACTCCCCACAGAGGGCCCGATTCATGCAGGCCCGGCCAAGACCCTGGGAGGCCGAGTGCCCTGATGGCACCCTGGGAGGGACGGAGGTGAAGGGCACCCGATGCGTTTCCGCAGCCCTGGACGGCTTCAAACAGAAGGTAAACGTCTGACGTTGTACCCGCGTCTCAGGGGCAGCTCAGGAAACCACCTGCTAGGTGAGGAGGGTCCCCTGCCCTCCGATGGGCTGCACCGTGGGGCCACGCATCTTCTCCTCGGGCTGCAGTGTCCACAAGAGGCTTACACTTGACCACTACTGCATGACCACAGCCTGCGCGGGACCCAGAGTCACCCAAGACAGCTACTGTGTGACTACATTCTGTACGGGACGCCCAGCCACACGTGACCACGTGTGGCGATCACAAGCCTAAATGCTACTGAGCCACCGTCCTGCAATCTGGCAGGACCTTCACCTTCAAAACAGTCACTCAGCTCGCACGCTTTTGCATCTGAGATCTTTTGTTTGGGACAACGTTCTGGAGACTCACCCGTGCTAAGGTTTTTATAAGTTTTAGTAGAAAATTAACTTCTCCGCTCTCGTGACGTCCGGTTCCACACGCATACGCACGCCTCCGCTAACGTACACGTTTTAGCATCAAACGTCACCTGACGTCACAGCACGTTGGGAATTACGTGACTCCTGTAATGCAAGCTCACTTTCGGAAAAGTGACCCCGCTGGAATCTAGAAAGGAAACCAAGTGGCCAGGACATCTCAGGAGTTCCTGCCCTGTAAAGACACAGCCTCACACACTGTGCCCAGGGGCGGCACCAGGAGGAAAACTTTGAGACCACGGTGCAGAGAGGGGGAGCGGGGGCACAGCGGCCACACGGAACTGGAGAGTGGCAAAGTCTGGAGAGGGGGATACAGCTCACAGCAGGAGCTCCACAAGTCCGGGAGGGCTGAACCCGGAGCACACTGACCTGTGCACACACAGACGAACACCATGGGGCCAGGTACACGTGAGGAGACACAACCAAACTCCACCCAGCCAAGACCTCACTGAAACCTGGGCCCCCAGGAGAGACCCTGAAAGGCCATTCCTTAGGATCAGGGCCAAACTCACCCAACATAAAGGCCGCTGAAACCCACCCTACCAAATTAAAAACAAATCCCAAGAAATCAGATGACTCCTAAGAACTCTGCCAAAACGAACATCAACGTTCTCAAAAGAGCACAGTAAAACCCAGGCCAGCCTCGCCCAGCAGTAATGTAACGCGAGCACATGCCTACCTAACCTTCCAGTAGCCTGCTTAAGATTAATCTTAACACGTAGTCGACGGTGACGCGTTTCACTTAACCCAACGTATTGAAAACATTTTTTATTTTAACATGAGATCCAGATAAAATAATGAAATAGTTCTACGTTTCTTTTTTCGCACCAGTCTCTAAAATCCTGGTCCGCAGCTCACATTCTCATCATATCTAATTCAGACTAACCACAGTCATATTTCCACCAGTCACTCATGACTGCTGGCGGCAGTAATAGCCAGTCCAGACAGCAGAGACTCGACAATGTAACGCCCGGGGTCCAATCAAACAATAAAGCAGCAAACTGTGGGCAGTAAGCAGAGGAAAATCGACCAAAAGGCAAATCCAGGAATGGCAGAGATGACAGAATTGGTGGATGAGGACTTTCAAAGCAGCTGTGGGAGATACGAGAAATAGGTCCAAAAATTTAAAAGGAAAGCATGAACATAACGTGGAAGGGAAGGCCTAAGAAGGAAGAAAACAGAGCCTAGACCTACAACACGGCGTCTCAAAGGAAACCTACACTGGCTGAGCTTAACAGCAAACGTGGCTGCGGCACAAAAACAGATCACTCAACTTGAAGCCACGGCAACAGACAGCATTCACCCCTGAGGGAGGGACAAGAGACTGAGAAAGGAGCTGAGCATTACCGGCACTCGGGACAGGCCAGGATGCCAGCCGCGTGTCAGAGTCCCGGAGAAGCGACGAGTGTGGGGCGGGGGCAGACACGACATCTGAAAAGACGACGGATGAAAATCTTCTAAATGACGGGCCTGAGGAGCCCGACGAACGTTAAGCAGGATAAACACAGAGAAAAGAACGCTGAAACACATCAGAGACGAATTACTGAAAATCAGTTACAAACATTAGACTTTAGAAGCATGTAGAGCAGCAAACAGTCCATTTCCTGCAAAGGACAAAGGAGCGAGTATCTGAGGCCTCCTGGAACGGAGGTCTGTATAGCACAGACCTCTTCTTGTCTTTTCCTACAACTTTGAGAAAAGGAAAAGCCCACTCGAAGCCCGTCGGCCGACGCGTGCGCTTTGCCAAGAAGACGCGCGACAGAAGACACAGACGCCTACGACGGCGACGCTTCAGAAACGGTGTGGTCAGAGGTCTCTCAAAATAGGAGAAAAGCAGCCTAGGATTCCACGATTCCAGACCCAGGGAAGAGGAATTCCATAAATACAGATAAAATAACTTCCTTCAGACCAAAAAAAAGCTGAGTAAATTCCCCGTCAGCAAGTCTACACTCGAAGAAATAGCCAAAAAGAGTCTTCAGAGCAAAGGGAATGGACGGCACACGACAGTGATCTGGGTATAAAGTCACAGAGCCCCAGAGACGGCGGGGGGGGGGG